AAAAAAAAAAAAAAAAAAAAAAAAAAAAAACAGTAATGCACTTTAATAAATATTATGTCTGTCCCAGATAGACAGGTGTACGCGTAAACTTGGTAGCAACTTTGCTAGTTGCTTTATAAAGGCTGCATCCCTTTAGCTGATTCATATGGCACTCATATTTAATACATATGATAGAAATATGCAAGTAAAAAAAATTATCCAAATATGTCTACATATGGAACAATATGTTATGTAAAATGTAAATATTTACGTCAACTGACGATTCGAGATGTCAATTTAAAAATTTCTTTTTGTTCTCGTCACATGTTAAGCCAATTCATTATTGCACTGTACCATACGTACAGTGTAAAAATATTTGCAATTCTGTGCAACGAGTACGACGTGAACTTTGCAGAAAAAAATTCCCTCGGAATTCTTTCAGTAAAGTTCTCAAGTATGGCATCCCCTGAATTCCCTGCGCCCCGTCGAGCGAAGTCTCGGCCGACGTGAAGTTGTGCTCGCCAGCGGAGAGAACGCGACGAATTTAACGCAAAACGTCTTTGGCCGTCCGATCGGCTCCTTCTCTCTCTCCTTCGCGGATCTCGTTCCACATCTCGCGATGGTCTGGTCGCGTTTCTGAGAAGATCAGATGAATCCGCCCGACGTTACCCCAAATCCCTTACGTTTCGCCCATCAGATGACGTCACGCGCTATCCAGAGAGCTCGAGAGAAAGAGAGAGAGAGGGAGAGGTTCGCTCACTTAATATCTAAAATTAATGTAAACATCCGAATTCGCGCGCGAGTCCACGAGCAACTCCCTCCCTCTCCCTCTCTCTCTCTCTCTCTCTCGTGAACATGTATGCGCGAATATATATATATAACACTCCCGTAGAAACTGTAACGTAGAAACGCTAATTTTAAACGATGTTCAAGGACGACGCGTGGCTCCTCGGCCGCGCAACGTACGCACTCTCTCTCTCTCTCTCTTTCTTCCCGAAGCCGTTTCTATCTGCGCTACGGGCGACCTCGTAGGCAGTGACCTACATATATCTCCTGGCCGCGAATTACGCCGGCGAAAAGGCGACTCGCGCCGCGAGGCGCGATAATCGCCGCGTCGGAGGTCTTCGCTGAGTGCAGTTTAACGCGCGGCGGCGTCATGCACCAGAATAGTTTAATATACTAATCGCAATCAGCGGGAGGACGCGGCGTCGCGCGAGCAGCGCGGAGAGTAGCCGGATCGGCGCGTGTGGAATTCAACCGAGAGCGAGAGAGAGAGAGAGAGAGAGCGTTCATGGGCGAGGGGAGGCCTTCGCCGCGGATACGAGCAAAATCTGCGCCTAACGTAATCGCGACCGGTCGCGACGCGACCTGTTTATTTACCGAGCAATTGTCTCGGCGCAATTACACGGCACGCACGCGATGTACGACCGCCCTCGCCGCTACGACGGATCTTTTCGCGTTGACTATCGTCGCTCGTCGACATCCTATCAGCCTAATTGCTTGCCCCGGACGGTGTCGCACGGTGTTATGCAAGAATTAGAGTGAAGTCGCGCAGAGAGAAAGAGAGAGAGAAAGAGCGCACGGGAGCAAGTTCCATGGACACGGCGGACACGATCATGAGAAGAACTTCAAGAGTCTCCCGGCGGAGACTCGACTCATGCTCGAACTCGCATTCGAACTCGATTGCTCAGCGAAGAAATGGCGAGAGGACGACGAGGGAACTCGGAAGACCTTGCGCAATATTCTTCTCCTTTGGGTTTCTCCTTGTGCAACATTAGTCAAATCGTTCGCGCCGAAGCCGCGTGAATCTTAGTTACTTTTTTTGAATCTGTAATTATTTTCCCCTGAGGCTTTGATCATTTCCCTTTGAACCTTTAGTCATTTTTCCTGAAACTTTTAATAGTTTTCCCTTGAAGCTTTAATTATTCTTCTTTGAACCCTTAATCTCTCTTTGAACTCGTAGGCATTTCCTTTTGAACCTTTATTTCTCTCCGAATCTTGAGCTATTTTTCCGAACTCTTGATAACTTTCCATTAAATCTTTATTTTTCACTAAATCTCTTTAATTATTTTCCTTTAATTATAGCCTTCAATTTTTTTTTTAAATCTTTAATTATCTTTCCTCGAGCTCTTGATTTTCCCTTGAACTTTCCCTTGAAATTTCCCTTGAACTTTTAATCATTTCTTCATCGAACCTTTTTATTTCTCTTTGAACCTTGTCATTTTTTTCTTCAACCTTCAAACATTTTCCATTGAATCAGTCAACCATTTTGAAGTCTTATTTTCCTTTGCATTTTTAATTATACTTTCCCTTGAACTTTGGATTGTTTTCCTCA